CAGAGTTTTTCCATGTTGAGATGGCCCCTCCTTTTCCTATCCTGGGAATGGGGTGGGGAAGAAGAGGAGACAAAGAGGAGACAAGGGAGACTAAAGGTTTGGGGGTGGAATGCAAACCTGTAATACCAGCATCTCGCCCAATGTCAGGGTTCCCCTTACCTGGCTCGGTCCTCCAAGTGTGCCTTCTGCCACCCTTTCCCGCACCATTCCTCCCACACACGTGAGCCAACCATTTCTCTGCCGTTTGCTCGGCGTGGTGGGCATGTGTGTAAATGTGTTGGGAGGTGGGCAGTGGGGCCCCAAATTCTGTCGGGGTCGCGCCCCCTACACTCCCCACGACTCTGGGTCCCTGTCCAGTGCGCTCTCCTTCACTGACCTGCAGGATTTCTGGATAGCTTCGTCCTCCTTTTCTAGGCTAGCCGAGTGCTGAGAACAGACACGCAGACCTGCAGACAGACAGGAGACAGGAGCTGGGCGTTCGATGGATGCACGGGGACTCAGGTCCCATTCCTGAATCCCAGCCCTCCTCACCCAACGTTTCCGTCCCCCACCTCCTCCGCGCCCCGCACTCCAGACGCCATTTCTTTTCACCCTTCGGGCACCCCTCGCGCTCCTGATCAGGAGGTTTTCCACACTAATTTTGGATCTCTGTGTCCTTCCCTGGAGGCAACTCGCTTCCCCACCCTCGAGGTCAACGTTTTTCTCTAAGCAAGGAGTGGGAGAGGCGGTTTATCTCCTCTCACAGCTGGGGCGTCCCCCAGCTCACCGGCTCCGGCTCCGAAATAGACCGACGGCAGCGAGTACAAGGTGCGGAGAAAGGGGTACTTAGAGGTGTCCACCTTCCCCACCCTCCGCCCATCGGCCGCTCGCTCCCCCTTAGCCATTTCCCCACCGCCATCTCTAGCAACACCCGGGCTGGCTTCCCTCGACCCCGACCCCATCACTAACCTTTCTCCTTTCCGTGCCTGTTCCTCCTCGCCCAATTCCAGTTCCACAGGCAGCGACGAAGACCCTTGCACTGATCTGAAAGAACCCTGAGCG